ACATTGTATTTCTTATAAAATAACAATTAAAAGTATTTTATTTATTTCTTGTTTTTTTTTTTTTTTTTATTAATAATTGTAAATTGATCTCTTTATTTAAATATGTCTGATGCTATTCGAAATATTTCATTGAATTGAATTAAATATGGTGCACTTATGTTCTTTATCAATTAATTTAAGCTTTATAAATTGATAAGGAAGCTAGTAAAAAAATATTTAAAATCATATTTTGATGATAAAATTGACCTCGTAATAGCTGCAATAGTCATTTAAGTAAATGTACCAATTAGTTTTCTATATATTTAGAAAGTACGGTTACTTGATGTTTAATAAAATTAAATGTATATAAATTGAAAATAAAAAAAAAAAAATCGTTAATCTTCCGGAATTGTGTAGTAAAAAAGTTGATAGCGCAACATTATAGATAGATCGTAAGAAGAATTTCTTTTTCTCGTTCCTCTTATTATTATATTTTTTTATCGATTGACTTAAATGTGCTTCAGAAATCAGCGACATTGTTACGAGAGTCTTAAGAAGATTCTTAAGACCAAATGGACATCACTTTTTCCCATAATCTGTGCAAAAAATAGATGAAAAAGTAACGTCGGCGACTGCCACTCTATTATTGTATGAAACTTTCACGCAACCGTAATTGACAGATGGTCAGTGGGTTATTACACGGGAGAGCGCATTTAAAGACGAGAGTTAAGAATCTTCTATTGTGTATTTGTGTTTTCTTTTTTATCTTTATTTGTTCTTTCTTCGTTGTTCGTTTTTTGTTTTTTTTTAATCTTTAAATTGACAGACTAGTGCAATTAATGTTAAAGATAAATAATAAATTCTTGACGTATTATCACATGTATATGTAAATCTATTAACGGATTATTTTAATTATTGTTTTTGAGATTTTAATAGCTTTAAAAACTAACAATTGTAGTTGGTTTTACTTATAAATGGCAAACAAGAAAGATAGAATACATTTTTTTTTTTTTTTTTTTTTTTTTTTAAATATTTAAATATAATAATCTTAAACAGTTAGTTAAATTATTAAAAAAAAAAAAAAAAAAATGAAGTTAATTCAACGTAATTTAATATAGAATTCATAGATACATGAAGTTATCACGATATATAGTCTTAACATAAATTATATAATTTAAAGAAAAACATGTTAATTATTTTATATGTAGTAAACATAAATATTTAATTAAGAAGTTTATTGCGCGCATTTTAACTGAAATTTACATTTACTAACCCTCCAAACGTATGAAATAGTATTAAAAAATACATTTTTATCTAATTTTAATTGTCAAAACTGGATTTTCAGCTTTATTATTCAGTAGATTTCTTTTCAGTATCATTTTTTCATACATCAGACAGTACGTTTCTATGAATGTAATGGAAATTTTTATATAATTAATTGTTTTATATACAAGCATATATTAAGGGATAGAGAGAGAGAGAGAGAGAGAGAGAGAGAGAGAGAACATATGATTATTTCTCTGTCACAACGTTTGTCAATAAATTTATTTGTGCCGCGAACAATATATATAAATAAATAAATAAATAAAATAATAAAACCAACAAATTTTGTATATGTTCGTTTTCGATTTTACATATATTATCTATCAATAATTTACAGCGAGTACATTAATAATATATTTTTTATAATAACAATATGAAAGTAGAGACAAATAGCTTTATAGCTATTTATAGACGTAATATATTAACAAAACTGAAAACAAAATTAAAAAAAAAAAAAAAAAAAAAAAAAAAAAAAAAAAAAAAAAAAAAAAAAGAACAAAAAAGAAAGAACTAAAAAAAAAAGAACACATTATACACTAAACTAAATAATTACGTAATAGACTCATTCTAATAATTCTCAGCTATAACGGTATCATTGATTTTCTTTTACGATGCTAAATTGTCGTGGCGTATATAATTTAACAAAATTATTAAACTTAGAAAGTTTAGTGAACGAAGCATTCAACAATCATTGGATAAGATTAACTCAAATAAAAGCAAAGCTATTCGTACAATACAGGATTATCGTCAGAGCATCGATTTATGATCTCCTTTAAAGTTTAAGTGCCCATCGACTTCTTTATATGTTTAGAAAAAGGTGGAAATTTCATTGGAAATACAATATCCATATGTATATAAAGTTTACGGCACAAAGAATAGAATAATGAAATATTTTAAAGCCAAAGTTTTTTTCTTCAAGTTCAATTAATGTGAAGGAAATCTACTATTAATATATATGTTATGTAGAAACAAATAATTCAAGGGAAGGAAAAATATATATGAAAAAATATTTGTAATTGCTCATTAATATTTACACGATGTATTCATAAAATTTATAAAATTTAAAATTAATAAGAAATCTTTTTTTTTTTCTTTCAATAGCATTCTCGATTCTACATTTACGTTAAATTTGATTCGATTGAATTCGTTGGAAAACATTTAATTTACTATCAAAATGCGCTTATCTTTTCAGAAAATTTTATACGCATGAAGAGAAACGATTATACGGACAATATTTTACTTTTTTATTATTATTATTTTTTTAAATCAATGTTTAAAACAGCAATTATATTTTATTAATTTTACTATAAAGCTAAAAGTTAATATGTACAGCGAATTTTCAATTACAATTAATAGCTATTATAACTGTTCAATTAAGCATTAAAATTTGTCGTGACGCATTTCTTTAGTATCTATAATACATATTTTCACTTACTTGATTAATTTTTTTCTTTTTGTATACTTACTTATCGATAACTGTTTTTAAAAACAGTTTTTAACATAAATAATTATTACATTGTAATCATTCTTAATATTACAAGCACACGTCAACAAACTATTAATTTCGGATTGATAATTAAAATCCATGAAATGCATTTTGCAAACGCAATATTCATATTGCGCACAAATAATTCATAAAAAACGCATGCGCAATCTAGCCAATGAAGTGTTATGTAAACATTTCTATTATACCGAATATCTATGATAGCAAATTTAAATATATTAATTAATAAACGCGTGGATTCGGAAATACATATAGAAAAAAAAAAAAAAATCATATGTATATGAATTAAAAGTTCTATAATAGTTTAGTGAATAGGTGGTTGAGTATATAGTTATTAATAATAAATTAATATGTACGAATTACAATTTTAATAAAAAATATTAATATTAAATGATCGTGTATTATTATGTTATAGTCCCTAAATTAAATCTTTTGATTCTTTCATAACATGAAAAATAAATAAAGGCTTCATAACTTTATTTTACGAATTTACACATATTTATTTACAAAAAAAAAGAAAAAAAGAAAAAAAAGAAACGTCAACTGTAATCAATCATTGTTTAAAATAAGATTTTTTTATTCTAATAATAATAAAAACTTAAGATGCTCGAAAGACAGTAATTTGCGTTGATTTTTGTTATTTAAATTAAAAATTGAAAAATTAGAAATAAAAATATATTTTATATAAAATATTCTTATTTTTATTAATATATTTAAAGAAAAAAAAAATAAATTATAATTCTGTATATTCAAAGTTTTTTTTTTTTTTTTATTGACATTTTGTGACTTTTGACTTCGATCTCGAACATGCGGTTAAAAAAAAAATTCGTTTAAACTTTTAACTAATGTTCACGTATAATTGTGATATATATTTTTAAATTTGCACAGAATTATTTATTCCAAATGTACAGCTATGACCTCCAACGTTACTTCAGAAACGATGAATTTTTTCAATTATTAATAAGCGAGTATTCTGCTTGACCGTATCACTTTTAATATTTGCCATTATAACATCGTTACTTTTCAAATTATCCATAATTTTAATTATAAGCTTATTTATATGTGCTATGTATAATTGTTGATAATATTTTTTTTATAATGCAAATTCTTTCGTCGTGTAAATTACCAACGATTCTCTTTTTATCGGTCCTCCCGCGCAGAAGATCAGTGTATTCTTATTACTTGTCATGAATAAAAAATGAACAATATATTAATAAATCAAAGCGAAAATCTAAATAAATAATTTAACCATTTCATTTTAAGTAAAATTATACAACTATTTATGTAACTTAGACATTATAAAGAAAATTTGATATCTCTATTATGCGCACTTATTTACTAATGTAAACTTATGTAAATTAATGTAAAAATTTATGTACTAATTTGAAATATGTTTGCGAATAGGAGGAAAATTTTTAAAATTCTAATAAATTCTCATTTGAGATTTAAAAGATATTTTGGTATAATCGAATGTTATAGAAGCATTTTTATATTGTTATAATATTTTACAGCATTATTATATTATAGATAAATTTCAATTTTAAAGTACTTTTAAAATAAATAATTAAAATTCCCCTTAACGTGGCATAAAATTACGATTATTTTTTTTTTTAAATCATACAAATTTGACTGCTCGAATAATAAACCAATGACTGATTGGGAGCTGATAGGCATAATAATAAAATCTGCTCTCTCGCTATCGGTTGTACGTAACATTTGTGCCGCACGACGAAAACTGTTAAAAATGCATTAATGGAAATACTTTATTATTTACAATTAGGAAAGTTTTCGAGAAAAAAAGAAGAGGAAGAAGAGGAAGAAGAGGAAGAAGAGGAAGAAGAGGAAGAAGAAGAAGATGATGATGATGATGATGATGATGATGATGATGATGATGATGATGATGATGATGATGATGATGATGATGAAGAAGAGGAAGAAGAGGAAGAAGAAGAAGAAGATGATGATGATGATGATGATGATGATGATGATGATGAAGTAGAAATTATTACGTCAACTTTCATACTGTTAAAGCAACTACAAAAAAAAAAAATAAGGCGTTTATGCTAACAATAGTAATTTTGTGTTAATAATAATTGCCGAGCAGCAGCCATTTGTTCGTAAAATATTGCTGATTGAGAAAATAGTTGGAAGCCGAGGTTTATCATTGATATATAAATAGTTACAATAAGCACTCGCACATAAATTATCTTTCCAACCAATTTTGTGCTTGCAATTTCTCCGTTACCACATTTCTTATTCTATTTATTCAACTTATGACATTATAACACACGACTGGCTAACTACATTTTACATTATACATATTATTTGTTACGCTGTGCATTATAAGAAGGCGCAATCTTATACATCTATGGCAACATTAAGTGCAAACAAATCGTCTGCTGTTCCCATTATCATCGCCACTGTAGTTAAATATAGTTAAACGCAAAGCGTATATTGTAATGATTACTTGACTAGGTTAAGTCACCTTTAAGCTTTATTATTTTCCTTTTCGTTAGATTTAAGGCAAGTTTATCGCTAAATTATGTTATCCATATATTATTACGGGATTTTCAAAAATTGGTACAGTTCATTGAACACGAACTTTTCAAATTCGCTAGCATTTTATCATTAAGGCCTGCGAATTTCAAAATTACGTCTACACATGCAAACACAAATCAATGCATAACAATACACCCACTCGTGCCTTTATCTCGCAAATTTTTGTCTTCATATATTGACAACATATTTTAAGAATTAATTTGATATTTGATTTTCAGGGGAATGACCAGCCATATTTTTGGAGTGGGTTTGGGCCTATTTGTCATAATAACACTCTGGATATCCGCTGGCTTGGTTTTCCTCGTGTCGTTGAGAATTGAAAAGAGAATCGGTGCTGTTGCACTCGCTGTAGCTGCTATTGTTACTATAGTACTAATTAGTGTCCCTCGTGCAGTACAGCACCCTATTGCTCATAACAATAAGGTACGTACTTATTAGTTTATAGGTACAGGATATAATTGTAAAATGTTTGATTACAAAATGATTAATGAAAAGTTTTAAGGCTTTACATTATTTTATAATTTTTTTTTTTTTTTTTTTTGTTTTGTTTTTCTTCGTAGCTTTGACAAACTCTTTAATACTTATCAAATACAATTATTAATACTAACTGAATTTATGTTAATTAATCGAATGGACATATTCATTAAATTTATTACCAGATCGGTCTATTAATATCTTCAGTTTAAGAGCAAACGACTGTTTGTAAATAAAGTAATATTAAGAATATAATAAAGAAATCAATATATTATTACTTATCTGTAAATATATCTGTAAAATATAGTCGCATTAAAAACCCTATTTTATATATAAATAGGCGTTTAAGTAAATAAATCATTCTTCATAACAATTCGAAAAAAGTTTAAAACTATTATTTTTCATTTATAAAAATCATATTTTATAATATAAACTGTAAACTGTTCTCAGTACGTATAATTTAATTTTTAATTTAATAATTACTGGTTAAAAAATTAACATATAATTTCTTTTCTAGCCTTACGACCATTTATTTGTTTGGCGTTTGATACTTTTAATTCTATTAATAACTTCAACTGTGATTGGATTCATAGGTTACATAAAATTTGGACTTATGGATATTGCAAAACCTCAAAGAATTAGAAATTGGATATTATAAGTAATTTCTTCTCTTTCTATATGTACATGTGCATATACATGTAAATATATAAATACATAGATATATATATATATATATATATATATATATGTATATATATATATATATATATATATATATATATATATATATCTATATATCTATATATTGCATATATATATATATATATATATATATATATATTTATTTATGTGCATTTGGAGTGTTTGTTAAAGGAACTTTTTAAAGAACTTATTCTCAATTTGTACATGCTTGTGTATCATATTAAAATTGTGCTATCTATAAAAAACATTTTAACTTTATATTATTAAAATGTTAGCCATTGTAAGAAATTTGGTTCGGCTATCTACACGGAGAATTTCACTACGGTGTTGTAATAATAAGAAATTTGAAATTAATGACAATACAGAGTTTGTAGATAAAGTGCTGAATAGTGATGTTCCAGTGATAGTTAATTTTCATGCCGAATGGTGTGATCCGTGCAAAATCCTTACTCCTAAATTAGAAGAGTTGATTGGACCAATGAATGATCTTAATTTAGCCATAGTCAATGTAGAATTAAATCCCGAACTAGTGCATACCTTCGAGGTGAAAGCTGTACCCGCTGTTATTGCTGTATCCAATGGCTTAGTTGTAGATAAGTTCATTGGCTTAGTCGAAGCCAATATGATTGACAATTTAATAAAAAAATTAACAGCGAGTACCCAACAGCCATCGAATAAAAATAATATTACAACCTAATGATATTTCTACGAAGATGCGAGTATAGCTACTTGATATAATTATACCAATAGAAATGTATACAATATATAAATATATTGTTCTAAAATTCTTAACCTTTCTCTTATACAATTTTAATTTAACTTTGAGCTGTGTTTTAAAATGTAATTTAACGAACTTATTCTACTAGTCTTCAAGCATATTTCATGCACAAACGTTATGCATGCATAATGAATGTTGAGAATGTATGCTTAAATGTAAGCCACCCCCCTTTTAAAGTTTCGACATATTTCTATTAAAATTTTGTGAATTTTTCGATAAACGAATGAAAAAATCGCTTTAGGAAAAAATTTGTTTTCTAATATTTAATTTAAATATAATGCTAACTTAATTGTTCATTCTAATCAATTACACATTATATTATTTTAATAGTTTTTTTCAAAAACACGCGCTAGCGCGCGCACACACACACACACACACACACACACACACATATATATATATATATATATATATACATTATTTAATTACCAATGATGTATACAAATTAAAAAATTATCACTACATAATCTTATGGATCTTACGGAAAAGAGACAACATGTGTAATGCAATGTAAAGGGATTTGTAATAATGTAATAAAAATAAATTTTTGTAAAAAAGTAATGTGTTTTTATTTATCGTCAATATTTTCATAATAGCAACTTTCATAACTAACCCTCTGATAGATTTTCTCTCAATAATACACTATCGTACTATTTTCAACGTTACACAACATATGTACTTACAAAATTGATTATTCATAAGTAATTATTTTATACAAATTACAATCAAACTCGCTATTGTTATTAATTCTTAAAAATATGCTATTACTCACAGTGTTTCGTATATTTTTTCTCTGCTGATTTTTTACATACTAAATTTCAGCACTTTTATTGATTTTCGTCGAACTTTTAATCATCGATTAACTCAATAAGTATAATCATGATCTAAATGAGAATTTTGAGAATTTTGAGAATTTTGAGAATTTTGAGAATTTTGAGAATTTTGCTTATATTCTTTACAATAATATAAAATAGAAAATAATAACATTCGTTAGTTAAGCGGATTTTCGGAAGATGATCGTGCTCCGTAATACTGGCCGATCGAATTTTCTTTCGTCTACATAATAATCTCTCCCAAAACATTTTCTTTGAGTCTGCTATTATAAGCTCGAGGAATTTATAACTTAAAGATTAAGCTCGATTTGTTAACAGTAGTTATACATAATTAGAAATTATGGACATTTTATCATTCTTGATAATATTGATAGTACTGTTTTCAATTATTGGCACAAAAATATCAGCAAGTGTTTATTTGTATTAAACGTATTTGAAATTCAAAGTTAACTATAAGAGTTGTTGTATTTACATATAAATTGTAATTTCATGTGAATGGCATTGAGAGTTTGTTGCAATTCCTTAAATTATTCATAAGACAAACAAAAATATATGTACTTTCCATTCACATATTTATAAAAATTCACATTCTTCAAACATATTTTCAAAATTTCAATCAATACGATTTCAGTTACTTGTCTTTATTAATATCATTACTTGCGAAATTTAAATTATAATTTGGTAAGACATTAATTGATTATTATACTTCCCGTATTATCTTATAAATTTTTTTTGTTTTCTTTTGTTATGTTTTGTTTGTTTGTTGTTTTTTTTTTTTTTTTTTTTTTTTACGTCAATTGCATGAGATGTAAAATATGTTTGCGTTAATTGGATTTCTATATAGTTTTAACTCGATCGAGCATGAATTAGGAATATTTTAATAAGCAATTTTTCAAATTAAAAATTAATTGTACATACTTGAATGTATAAAAAGATAATGTTAAATATGTGTATTTACTTTTGACAAAAGATTTTATGGAACATGAAAATTCGCAAAGCAAAGTTTTTCTTTGTATATTAAAACTCATTCGAGCTCTCTCGTATTATAAAATAATTTTCGTCTTCTTCTTCAAATAATTTCTGAAATACATTAATAAAAGATTTCTAATGAATCATAGGATGAATGAATGAATTATTATGTTCGAATACTTTGCATTACAAAAATGATTTAAATTTCAAATGCGTTTATGATTTTGAAGTTTTGATGAATATGTGTCGTCATATTTCATTCTAATTCAATAAAGATTTCGTATATATTGTTACGAAAAAAAAACAACAAAAACAAAAACAAAAACAAAAAAATTATATATTTAAGTGATATTATTATAACTATACGCAAAGTACAGATATATGTGTACCAGCATAAAACTTCGTAATTGTAAGGACTTTTTTCTATACGTACACTAGACGTAAGCAGCGCTCGATTGTGCACATAAACATATGCTCTCGCACACAAATACAAAATTATACATAGATATTTACAATAAATCAAAATTTCATATGTAGTACGTGTATAATTGAGTCTTATTAATTACAAATAAATCTTCGGCAAAACCATCGTCTATAATTATACGCGTCCTACTAGATACAAGCCTTGATGAAAATTTACAAATGTTTGAGCTTCGTATAAATTATACATATATCTTCCTGATTAATTGAATTTGTTTTTAATATATGCTTTCCGCTTAGTGCTAAATGTCATATATATATATATATATATATATATATATATATATATATATATATATATATTTACAGTATACGTAAATATCAAATTGCATACACAAATACAAAACAAGGGACCAAGCAAATCACAAAAAAACATCGCATATTTTCAACATTGTTACGTAAGACGAGACAAGTATATTAATTTTTTGTTTACTTTATTCATTTATCGTAATTCAGAATTTCCTGAACTCTTAACAGCGATAATACAAGCACATGCTCATCAATAGTTAAGACTAGCTACTATATAATAATATATATAATAATAATCATAATAATTACAATAATTATTATTATTATATATTTACATGTATTTACATGCATATATCTATATATGTACATATTTTGTTATGCATCAGTCAGGTGGTATTGTTACACCGTCTTAATAAGGCCATGTCGTGACTTACCATTGGCTATGTGCTGCAGTATATATTTTATAGACATTTTATCATATCATTTTTATCGATCGAACAATCAATGTTTTTAATTAGTATAAAAATGACGCATTCCCGGAAAATAATTGTAGAATTGTAGAATTGTAAAAATTAATTTTATTTTATTATTTATTTCTTCTTTATTTTTTTTTTAATCTTCTATTTTATTTATTTATTTATTTATTTATTTTTTTTTTTTTGCGTTTGTACAAACTATTCAGACTCTGTTTTTCCCAATGAACAGTTTTAAAAAATAATGATAATTTGTACATTATGATTGAAAGGCCAATCAATTTACGATATCATATGTGTATGACACTAATCGAGAGGTGTTCCAAAAATAGTAAAGAAAGCCAAGTGAAACGTAATGAAATGATAATTTTTGTTGGAAATATTTCTTAAGTTGGAACTCGTTGCGGAAACAAGTTGAATTTTTATCAATTTGCAGATGATTTAAACGATACTTACAATCTGCCACGATTAAGTCATGATGAGAGAATACTCCAAGTCTCGATTCAACATCGAGCGATTCATTGGGGCGATAATTTTGTAAAGCCAACAAATGGCATTTGATGAGATACAATGATGACAGGTAGAAGTACCTACTAATGCAATTTGTACAATTACGCCAGGATACCTTCATTCATCACAAGAAAGAGCAATGTTAATCCATTTAACACGACTTTCAATAAAGAAACATGTATCATCAATAAATAGTATATTGTTAAACAAAAAAACCGTTTGTCTCATCAACATATTAGAAAAAGATTCTTCGGAATTAATTGTCATTAAAAAGAATTAAGTATCGAGCGAATCTATATATGTCTTATGTAAAAAAAAAAAAAAAAAAAAAAAAAAAAAAAAAACAATTTGTCAGAGATTCAGTATATAATAAGTATCAAACATATTTTATATTATTACAGATAAATAGTATTGAATTAAATTTCTATATTTCTACAACAATAATTTAACATTTACTAAATGCAAAGGTCAACTGAAGATGTTCCTATCCATCACCTAATTTTAACTTTGTAAATCAATCAACAGCAATAATATTGACTAAAATTTATCAAGTAATAAGAGATCCATAAATATTTGAGTAATATAAGCATCGATAATAATAATTCCCATCGTATAATTATCAAATGTTACGTATAATTATTAAATTATACAAATCTTACAGGCACTCGTTTCAAAAGTAGCTTTTAGGAATTTTTTTGTTTCTAATATGTACCGATCACACTTTAATAGTTGTTATTTCTTAATATATCAGCTCTCAATGTATATAAATAAACAATTCCGTTGATTAATAAAATTTTAAGATGTAAATTGCCTTTTTCCGATAGTTTCAATTTCATTCTTCAATGCTATAAAATAACAATGAGTTTTGAGTTTAAGATAAAAACCTACTGCAGTATAATAATGGAAATTTGTAATTGAATTATACTCTTATAATTTATGATGCTATGATAAACTGCTTCTTCTTAACAATATGAATCTAAGAAACATTTCAATATTAAAATACTAAGTTTTTTTTTTATATTTATGTGATGAAGTCTATTGATGAACTCTGATTAACTGATCAAGGAACTAAAAGCACAGGCTACTTCAATATTTATCTAATTATACTATTTAATTCCGGTTGTATCAAATTGAAAATCCGTACGGGGTTATTGATATTCTAAACATATCCTGAAAAAAATCTTAGCTCAGAAGAATATATGTAGAAAATACATCTGGGAGATTGCATTTTCGACTATCGGTAGACGAAAGGTGTGGCTTAGCAACCAGAGTGCACCATCAAACAGAATATAATCGTGTAATCGATTTAAGAAGATCGATCGAAGAAAATCACTGAATTGCCATTTCTCGTTTGTCATGAATTCGTCTTTAACATAAATAATAATATCCGCACTTCCCTAGTATCAGCAGCTCTCTTTCTGCTTTTTCATTATAAATGAGATCGAATTATACTTGGATGCAATTGTTATATTGAAGATTAATCTGATA